TGCTGACTGTTGGCTGGAGCTCACTCTGCTCCTAGAGGGCATTTTTCTGTTCTTGCACTTCATTTTCAAGGCCAGCATAACACAACAGACCTTCTCCAGCTTTGTGTCTCTCTAATTTCCCCTCGTTGGCTAGCTGAGAAAACTCTCTGCTCTAAAGGATTTGTTGACTAGATCAGGCCCATGTACATAATCTCCCATTTAATTAACCCAAGATAAACTGATTTGTAACCTTAAAAATAGGTGCAACATTTATTTTGCCATATAACCTAACATAATCATGGGCATGATATCTCATCTTATTCACAGTCCTGGGGATTAGGGCAGGAAATCTTGGGGGGTTCATTTTAGAATTCTGCCAACCACAGTAATACATGGTCTTAATACATCATCATTTAAGAATTATCTTATTATTGAATATTTATTCACTATCCCAAATTGCAGTGTCATTAATAAGTGCGATTAAAAACTGTGACTATCTTAGAAGTCTACTCTTATTATTACTATGGTATAAATTGTAGAAAGGAAATTAGTTTATCAAAAAGTGTAAATATTAAAGGATCATGATATATGTTGCTAAAGCACTCCCTTTATACTACAGTGGAAAAAAAAACTTTTGAAAAATTGTTTCCTGGTCAACTCTAGGTTTCACCCATTACAATGTGTGCCATTTACATATGTAGAAAAATACTATTCATTTTAATACTGAAAGCAATACAGACGACTTATTAAAGTAGGTTTTCAAACAGACCTGTTGGGGTCATGTCTAAGGTAAAGACAAGCACAGTAAGAGTGTTTAAAATTAATTTAATTATTTAATTAAACAAAAAACTACAGGCACACAGTGGTACGTGCTGAAGGAGTCAAAGAAGATGAGACCAGTGTCCTAGCATAGTTCACTGTTATAGCAGATACCACAATGATTTATGTCATCTGCTGGGTATTCCCATTGATTCAAGATTATTAAAATGTTTGCTACATTGTATTATTCAGTCTGAATTTTATTTGCAACTTTTCAGTCATCTCAGGTTTAATTTCTATTGGCTGCTTATTTTCCTTTATATGGGTCACATTTTCTTGTTTATGCTATTGGATGTTATGAATGATAGAGTATAGAGACTTTGCTTTTATATCCCTCTGAATAAATATTTTTATTCTAATAGGCAATTAGCTGGGCCTAATAGGAAATTTACTTCCTGTTTTCTTAATGGACATTTAATTCAGGCCCTAAACTCTGTTTCCTCTGTGTGGACAGCAGCTGCAATCTCTGCGCATGTAGTTTAGCAACCAGCCAGGGATTTGGGTCAGTTTTAAATGTAGATTTTGGTTTTTGGCTCTCTAAGCCTTTCTTCCTTCTGGAATTTTGTCTTTAACTTTCTACCTACTCTGTTAGCCTCAAACTCAGCCCTCTGACCACTTAAGCCAGTAAGGCTGCAGCTTTCTGTCACCTGCGAATTGGGGGATGCCCTCAGGGAAAAAGCCATAAATTGATAAACCTCACAGACTGTAGTTAATTTTTCAAGGTCAGACTCTTCATTTCTGCCTTTTTGGTTACTCTCTAGTGCCTTCAAATAGTTGTTTTTTTAAAAAAAATACTTTGTCTAAAATTTGTAATGGTTTTGTTTGGGATGATCAGTTCAGTCAATCTGCCTTTTTACCTTGAACATTGTCTTTTATAAATTAACAGCACAATTGACAGTACAATTAACAGCACAATATATGTTAGTTGAATGTTCTGACTCTTACTATTTCTCATGTTCAGCATAGTGGTCATAGAAGTCTTCTAAAGTTTTTGATCAAATATGTTGTGTACAGAATATTCCTTATTTAATGCTAATTTAGATTGTAGTAGGATCAGAGTGATCTTGTGGGAAAAATAGCTTATATATCATGTCGTGAGGGAGATGTGATTTAATCTAGAGAATTTTCGTATTTAAATCTAAGATTTCCTGCTAAGTGTTTTATTCCAGGACAGTGGTTTTCAACCCCCCCCCCCCCCCCATCATTACATGTATAATATATTTTTATCAGTAACATTTCTCATTAAGTGTGGTTCTTCTCAGTTTGCAGGAAGGGAATGGGGGATGGTAGTGGAGAGGGGGCAGCACTTTCCCTCAGTAGAACCTTTTCTCTAACATAGAAAGAATATTATTTGACCAAAAATTGGACCAGTGTGAACTGCCTCCTTGCAAACAAGTTCTTTTCTTTCAGAGTTATTTTGTACTGTATCTGCTTCTGTACTACCATTATTACATGACTTATAATCGTCTAAAATATATTTGCTTCAAATTATAAATTTGAAGCAAATATCCATTAATTTTCACTTGATAAATGCACCATATAAAATAAGAAACACTTTTTGGGGCACCTAACCTTGAAAATATAAATGAGAGTAATTTGACATTGATTTGGACAGGAATATTATATAGTACATAATATACTTAAAATGCTAAAGCTTCAAAATAAGATAAAAAAGTCTTTGCATTCAGGCATGTCTTAAAAATTCAGACTTTGGGGGAATACTTAAAAAAGCAAAGTTAGGTTACTTAACTCCTTTAAAGACAGAAAGATTTAGAAGTAAAGGACAGTTTTGTGCTTGAATCCAGCTAATTAAAGGTTGGAATAATTTGACTTTTTCTGCTGTGTAGTTTTTATTATTGTTATTGTTCTGTTTGTTTAAGTAATATATTATCCAGGTCAGTAGACCAATGCTAATGATTTTGAAAAATCAATTTCCAAGATGCATTTTAGGCTCATTTAGATGTAGGATACTTTCTTACGTCTTTTGCAGCTTTAGTACTCTATTGTGTTCATTGATCTTTATTTAGACTATCTGAAACCGTCTTGATATTTTGGAACCATCTGTGACATTAATTACAGGACAAATAATGTTAACTGATGTTAACTAACTTATTTAAGATCATAATAAATGCCAGAGCTATAATTGAGACCTAGTTCTGTCTGACTCTAAAAGAGCCCATGCTCTGAACCATATCACTATACCTGGATGGCCACCTAAATTTACCCTCTGTATGCTTTGGGGGTTTGGTTTGGTTTGGTTTATGCTTTTTATTTTATTAATATGCCCTTGCATTCTCTCCTAGATCTTTTCTCAGTTTAACTGTTAGTTTAATTCTTATATGTACGTGAATGTTTGCTGTGATCAGGCTATCCTTTCTGTCTTTCAACCAGTATACTTCTAATTTATTTACTTTTCTGGGTCCCCAGGTACTAGCCCTTAGATGTTATCATGAGCTTCTCAGGCCTGGGCTAAAATTTTTCCATGTCCCTTAGTGATTGGTAAGTGAATATAAATATTTGGGCAAAGGGTATCAGAGCCTCCCCTCTTTTTGCTTCCATTTGCTTCCTCAACCTTCTAGACCCCAGGACAAGTTAGAACTCCTAGGGTATGACACTCTTGCTAGATTGAAAAGGGAGCTTTTATATTTTCACTGGTTATCGTGCTACCCTTTAGTATTCTTCTTTCCCCATCTTCTAATCCTCCAACATGGAGTTATGAAAAGTGGCACATGCTGATAAAGGTTGAAGTAATAAGTAGTCCCCAAACCATTTAGTTTACACTTAATTTTGTACTCTGAATATTTTCTGTATGACAACTCAATACAGATTATAAATATTTAACTGACATTGTTTAATTTGATTATGATTCAGTTTACTTAAAGCTCTTCTTATTCTTTACATTTACTTTATTTTAAGCATCCTTGTTAAATGATCTAATTAATTCTAATCATTTTTTAGCCTCTTGGATTTTCTAGCTGTATAGTCATATCTACAGAATTATGATAATTTTGGCTCTTCTGATCTATTTACTGCTTTTAAAAACATTTCTTATTTCATAAGTTAGATCCTATAAATTTTAAATAAAAATGGATAAAATTGGCATCTGTATTCCTGATTTTAGCAGTAATTCTGTTAGTGTTTCAGCATTTAATATTATTGGTATTTGATTCTGATACTCATCATGTTTAGGGTGATTGACTGATTCCTTCAGGAATAACTGTTGAATTCTTTGAAAAGAAATTTTGTTATAGAAACAGTCCTGCATTTTCATATGATAATGTAATTAATGATGTTGGTAGATTTCCTAATGTTGTACCATGCTTGTGTTCCTGAAATAAGTTAATTTTATTGTGGTGACTTATTATTTTCATGCTGTGCTAGATTTGCTGATATTTAGTTTAGGACGTTTGTATCTATATTCATAAGTGTGGTTAGTATTTTTCTCCATTTGTGCCATCCATGTCAGATTTTGACATTAGAGCTATGTCAGCATTGTATAAAGTGCATTAGGAGATTTTTTATATATGCTCAAGGACAGTTTGAATAACAGAATAACAGAAATATCCATTTCTTTATAGAACTTTCCTTTATCACAGTCTAGGCTGGTGCCTACTTTTAGTAGTTGATAGTTCTGGCATAGGAATAGGTAAGTTAGACCCGTAAAAAAGAATGAAACACCCCAAAGCAGATTAGAATAACACACATTTAATATATAAGAAATTATCAGTTAAATTGATGGGGAAAGGATGCATCATTATTAAATATGATGTTGGGAGAATTAGCTTTCCATTTGGAAGAAATAATAATAGAGCTCTCACTGCTCATGCCATATTCATAAATAAACTTCTGTTGAATTAATAACCAATGTAAAAATTGAAACTATTAAGGCATTTGAAGAAAATATGGGGACATATTTTTTATTACTTCTGAGAGACTTTCTTAAGATGATGGGGAGCATAGAACCATAAGGGAAAATTTGGCAGATCTATTTACATTAAAGGTAAAAAAAATTTTAATGCAAAAGACACTGTAAACAAAGTCAGAGGCAAATAGCAGACTGACAAACAATATACTGGGAGATATTATCTGTCACAGTTATTAAACAGATAGAAGGTTTTTAATAATTGTCTACTTAGTAACACAAAAGAACTTGGTAGAAATTTGGGGCATTTTATATGCTGTACTAGAGAAGAATAAATACAAACAGCCAATAAATATATGACTACTATCAGATAGGGAAATGTAACCAGTTTCTGTTTATTAAGCTCATCAAAATCTAAGCAATTGATAATATTCAGTACTGACCAGAATGGGTATCAGCAAACATGGTTGGTGGAAGTATAAGTTGGTATAGCCTTTTACAGTTATTTAGAGACATTAAATAGAGATATTTGCCAATATCTCTTAAATCTTTAAATGTATAACACATTTTGGTCCAGAAATTCCAATTCTAGGTATTTATCCCAGAGAAATAAAGCATGTATACTTTTAGCCCTGTATATATTTATTTATTTGTAAATATATTTGCTTATACTTAGGAAAAAGTTGAGAAGGATATACATCAAATTGTTACTATAACTGTTAGGAGTGGTTTCTTTGGAGGATAAAATTGGATGGTTGTGATTTTAATGACATATATGCATATAGTTGAGCTAGTATTCATATAGTATTAGTGTAGCTGCTCATGTAAATAAATGCAGTTAGTAATTGTTTAAAATAAACTGATTTGCTCTAATAGCTCATTTCTTGTATATTTCTATCATTTAAATATACCTATCCTGGATTTAGAAAAATATTTTATATGCCAGATATAAAGATTGTTCTGAGCCAGTTAACTTACATATTTCATATACACTTTGTGAAGAACATTTTAACATTATCAAAATGACTTCTTCCTATGCAAAAAAAAAAAAAAAAAAAAATGAGCTCTGGTCCCTAGAAGGGATATTTGTAAGTATATCATTTGGAATTTTAAAGAATTGATTATTTTAAATATATATATATATTTAATTTTAGAATTTTATATACATCTGTGACCCTTGGAATGTGGTGAACTGTCATTTGTGGAAAAGCTGTGCCTTATTTAATATACAGTTTTTTAGTTCCTAGCATAGTAAACAGTATCATAGTTGATTATTTCCCTTGGTTTCACTAATTCATAACTGTTGTAATATTTGGTCATTTGCTTCACCAAACTGTATAGTCAGTTTTATTTAGTCCTATTTCTGCCAGTTTCTAAAATGATGTGAAATGTTCCCTAATTTAGATTCAAAACAAAGATTTAAATAATTGAGGCTGAGTTTAGTTATTAGATAGTTTTTTCATAAGTTTCCTTTGGTAAATACATTACTTTTATATTGGTTCAGTGATTTTCCTGTTCAATAATATGGACATTATTAGTATTTCTTTTCTGAATTTAATGAGGGTGTGTTACTTCAGGGCATTTGAATATCCTTTAGAACAGCTCTGAGCAAACTACAGCCCATGAGCCAAATTCAGCCCACTGCCTGTTTCTGTAAAGAAAGTTTTATTGGAACATAGCCATACTCATCCATGTATATATTGTCTATGGCTGGTTTCACACTACAGGGCAGAGTTGGGTAGTTGTGACAAATATTATATGGCTCACAGTGCTTAAAATATTTATTCTCTGGCTTTTTACAGAAGTTTGCTTTAGAACATTAAAATAATGACTACATATTGCCTTACATACCTGTATCCAGTCTCTCAAAGGATCTTTGGACAATTTCTGTTTAAGCTAACAATTCAATTACTCAAACATATTCATTGAGTATCAGTTTTGTGTTAGGCATAGGTCTAGATACTAGAGACACAAAATGGGGAACAATGAACAAGGCACAGAAAGTCTCTGCCCTCATGCAGTAGAGGAGAAAGACAACCATGAAGATTTTCCTCTTAAAATAAGTAGATCTTTTTTCTTTTCTGATTAGACAATTCATTAATTTGTTAACAAAATATGATGCTGATTTAAGTTTCCCCACTACATTGAACCTTGAATATAAGTATTATGGCAATGCAGTGTCCATTGTTGTTGAGACTTGTTTTCTTTATCAGTGAAGTTTGTAGAGGTTGCTCTTCCTTTTCAGTTATTTTAGGTACTTAATTTGTATTTATGGTAACTTAAGTTATATTCCTCACTGTGGATGATAGAGGCTCAGTAAGTATATATAAAATTCATTGGATAGCTATATGTCAGATTTTCTGTTAGAGAAATTCAATGCCAAAATTTTAAAAAATGTATATGATAACTAACATACATGTGGTACTCTGAGAGTTTATATATCTTACCTCATTTACGCCTCCTAATAACTCCATCAGTTATTATTATAACTCCCTTTTTCTAGATGATGAAACCAAAGTTGAGAGAGGTGAGGTGAAACAGTTAAGGGACGGAGCCTGCCCACATTAGCATCTTGGCCAGGATGACTTCAGGGCTGGAGCTCTTGGCCATGGTGCTGCTTAATACTTTTTGAGATTTGCAAATATGCATTTTCAGATTGGAGATTGGCCTTAATATAAATAGAACTTTAAATTTACTTGCTCTTTTATCCTTTTTCTTTCCTTCTGTCTTTTTTTTTTTTTTTGGTATGGATTATTGACATTTGAAGGTACAGGAGATAATTTTCCTCTTCTTTTTCTTTGTGTTTATGTACTTGTGTGTGATTAAGATAATACTGTAATCCGGGAAAGTGGAAAAGAAGGAATTTACAAAGACAAAACCCAAGTAAACATCACACAGCAAGGAAGAAAGCGATTAATTTCATCAGGAAGTACAGAAAGTATATCAGCAGAGCAAGACACAGGGAAAAAGTGCAAAAATGCTGACCAAGAAGAGTCTATCATTTCATCCAAGGTGATTTTTTAAAAATTCATAATTTGATTGTTTATTTTCTTCATCAGGTGTTCTAGTTAGGAATAGTTATATGCTGTATATATCAAGGAAAAACCAAAAATGCTTTTTATATTGAGTCTATCAAGATAAAAACTAGCCCCAGTTTTTCTTTTGTTTATTTTTGGTTTTTGGCTTACTGAAACTGATCTTTAATATAGCACTTGCAATGTAGAAAACAAAGCTATTTAATTTAGACGTTTTCAGACTGAAAAAAAGGTGGAGACCACTTGACTTTGGTCATAATTTGGTACCTCCATTTTGAAAATCTGGTTTCTTCTATTCTATTGGTCATTCTCAGACTGCCTGTAACTACCTTCTTCTTGATAAGTGTGAAGAGAGGAGCAACAAATGGGTAGCTCTTAACAGCCTGTTACAGGATTACTTCTGGACTAACTTGCAGTATTTATAAATCTTTTCTTTCCTCTTTCAGTTTTTGCTAAGTCACTAGAATTGTTTGGCTGACTGAAGCATTCTTTGGTACTGGATACTCTAAGAAAATGAGGCCTATTTTATTGGATGAATTTAAGAAGAGAGAGAGAAGAGGAAAAAAAAGAGAGAGATGGCCCTAGGACAAAAAGATCAGTTATTCTTCCTTTCAGGAGTAGGGTGGCTTTAGATGACAGTTTTCATGATCCTTGTAGACCTATGGCTAAGCTTTGTGGGTCCCCATCTATTTAGTCTCATTGAGAGCCATAGGAGTAGGATTGGTTTTAGAATAGCATGCACTGGATTGATGGAAATTCCAGCAGTTATCCCAGAGAGTCAGACCTTTTATAGTTCTCTCCTCACTCTTGCCTCCTCTCCCATTAGAGGAGATCCTGCTTCTCACTGGATCCTTTCCTCAAGCTAGAGAAGTGGGGTATAATCACTATAGGCTCAACTCCTTTGCTTACTTATGGAGTCAAGTTTAATAAATGAAAACAAAATGTGTTCTGACTCATACTGGCTATAAAGACTTAATAAGGTCATCAGTGCAGTTTGGCGTCTGCAGCCATGGATGAGCCACGTGCAAGTTCCTGCACAGCAAGGGAAGGAGAATGCTTTTAGAGAGGGGAAAAGGAAGTTGGGAGGGCTATAGTAAACAGAGTCCATGGTTTTTCATTGGCTGAGTCCTTGCCAGGAAGGAAGAGGAGTCTTTCCTTTTCATTTTGTGCTCTGCTATCATCACAGGGCATGAGAGCTCTGCCTTCTGGTCTCCCAACTCTATTTAATTGAAGTTTCTGTTTGTTAACTTTTTACATTTTACCCCTTTTGATCAAGGTCTTTCTCTGAAAGCACTACTGATCAAGAATCAGGTTTTCTGGTTTCAGTGGCTTTTTGTCCCTTAATGCCAGGAGGGGCCTTTGCTGGGTGTGGTTTCTCACACTGGAGAGAAAGTACAGATTGGAAACCTATTGAAGTCACATTCAAGTATCAAGGAGAGGTAGGAGGAAGAACTTTCAGGCACTTTTAATCTAAAGTCTCTATGTTATAAAGATCATAGAGATTGGAGAGCATCTGAAGTGTTATGTCATCATAAAAGGTTTGGCAGAGAAGGTTCCAGCAGGCCTGGTCTGGATATCTTGGGAAAGCTGTCTCATCAGATGCGGCTTCAATTACGGGAAATCTTTACCTTCAGGTCACCAGATGATGTGCAGGGCCAGTCAGGGTTCAGTGCAGTTTTTAGGTGTGTCACATGAATCCAAGAGCCCACTCCTTGGAGTTTGGCAGCACAAGGGCTGGTTTGCAGTACCTGATAGGGACCTTTCCAGTGAGGTTGAAGAGAGTTCTTCTGGAGGTGTTTCTTTCCAATAGACGAAATATCCAGGTTGCCAGGTGATGTTTAAGGTCATCATCTCCCACAGGTACACTATGAAAAGATTGCTCTACCAAAACATGGTTATTTTTAATAGACGCAATTAGGCCTTTGCAATATTGGACTCCTCTTATCAGTTGTGAGTCAAAAGAAGCAAGAGCCAAGTGCATTGAGCATCCTGTGGCTGTCTTAAAGGGTGAGAGCTTTATGAGTTCCAAAAGGGGTGGATCTGAGATTTAGAAGGACCAATGGCGAGGTATCTGGAGGGCCTTTACAAATTTTGCTAATTGAGTCATAATAATGCCATTAGTGCATTCACCTAAACGAGAATTGAGAGCGGTAAGCACAGTGAAAGTGTTGTAAAACTGGCTAAATAGCAGACTTGTTGAAGTGCCTGATCAATAAAATGTGTTCCTTGATCACCATGAAATTTGAGAGGAATTCCCCAGGTAGGGATACTCTTTTCTAAAAGGACCTTAACCACAGAAGAAGCAGTAGCCTGTCTGCAAGGAAGGCCTGTCTGTATGTGAAAACACATAGACCATTGCTAAAACATATTTATATCCATGAGCCAGAGCAAGTTGTCAGACCTTGAGTGGTCCATTGGACAGTTTAAATTGTTTAGGAGCAGTACAAACAGACTTCTTTGAGTCGTATTTCAGACAAGTGGGACAAGTGAGGTAGATACTTTTGGTGGATTTGTCAGTGTTTCCCCATCAATACTGATTCATGAATGCTGTCATTTTTTTCAGTAGACCAGTGGTTCAATGCATGTACAGGGTTGATGAGTGGGGATTTGGGTTGTTAGTTAGTCTAAACCAGAGCTTTCTCTTTTTATCAAACCAACAATTTTTGAATTTCTAATCTTGTTTTTCCTTTTCTGAGGCCAGTTGTTGGGCTTCTTTAGCCAGTTTTTCTAAGTTATCATCTGGGGAAATGTTCATTTGGACCAACAGAATGCTGTTAGCCCCTTTCAGGGCAGCATTCCCTGCAAAAATGTCAGCAAAGTGATTTCCCTTAGCTTCCAGAGAGTAAAGTTTAGAATGCCGTGGAATATTAGTAATAGCTAAAGTGGCAGATAAAAATATTGCATTCCTGAACATAAGAGCCATTTAAAATTTTATTTCCGCTGGAAGTAAGGAAGCCACGTTGCTTCCACAGTATTCCAAAATCATGAGCTACTCTTAAAGTGTGTACCATCAGTATAAATATTGGCAGTTTTGCCTTTAGCTAAAGTACAAGCCCATTTGAGAGTGTATAATTCAGCCTGTTGGGCCAAAGTAACCATTGGTAAAGATGCTGCCTCAGCAACATCAAAAGGAGTTGCAAAGCATACCCAGCATAATATTTGCCATTATTACCTTTTAAATAAGAACATCAGTGAACCATGAGAAGTCAGTGTTACTGAGAGATCTTTCCTGTAAATCATCATGAGGAGTCAGGAGGTGATCAGTCAGTGTTAAGCAGTCAAGAGGGACTTCTTTCGTGACAGAGCGGGGGAAGAGTAGCAGGGTTAAGGTTATTATAGCATAAAAGAATTATGCGAGGAGCAGTTAACAAAAGGACTTACTTCATAGAAGGTGAGGCAGCTGGCTGAGAAATATTGAGGGTGATGAGAATTCAGGAGGGCTTCTACTGCATGAAGTACAAAAATAGTTAGAGGGAATCCCACAGTTTTCTTGGTGGCCTTAACCCAAAGGGCAGTGGCCATAATGGCTTTAAGGCAAGCAGGGTATCCCTGTGCCACAGGGTCCAGTTACTGGCGATAATGCAGTGTGGGTTGATGGTGGACCCCGTGGTTTTGGGTGAGTACCCCAAGGGCATACTCTTCCTTTTCATATACAAAAAGGAAAAGAGGGAATTTGATAATTGGGATTCTCAAGGGCAGGCGGGTTCATCAGACTCAACTTTAAGGCCTTAAAGGCTATATTGTTTGGTTTTTCCCATAAGTTTGAGTCATGGTTCTTATTGTTTAATAAAGCATACAGAGGTTTAGCCATAAGAGAGAAATTTGGAATTCAATTTTGGCAGTAACCAACTATCCTGAGAAAACTTTGCAGTTGGCAGTTAGTTTGGAGTTTGGGAAAACTTAGGACATCATGAAGTGTATCTGGATCTACATGTAGCTTTTGTTCTGATATCAGATGCCCTAAATATTGAACCTGGGTTTGGGCAAACTGCAATTTTTCTTTGACAAACTTATGTCCCTTTCAGGCTAAAAACTTTGGCAAGTGAATACTGTCTTCCTGTGAGGATGATTGAGAAGGAGAGCAAAGAAGCAAATCATCCACATATTAGAACCTCTAGTGAACTTTATATAATCCAGATCAGCCTTTGGGATTTGTGAGAAATAAGAAGGACCCTCAGCAAAACCCTGGGACATTACTGTCCAGGGGAATTGTTTTTCTTCCCAAGTGAGAGCAAAAAGGTATTGGCCAGCTTCATCAACTGGAATATTAAAGAATGAACTACATAAATCAGTAACAGTGAAGAATTTACTTCCAGTAAGAATGGATGTTAGTAATGTATGGGGATTAGGAACAACGAGGTGTCAAGGGATAACAATGTTGTTTACTGCTCAGAGATTCTGGATGAACCTCCACCCTCAGCCGTTAGGTTTTCTTACCAGGCTGGTGTAAGGGATAATGAGACCTTGAGCCTTGTAATGTTCTATTATGGCTTTATGCCTTTAAGTCCTTCTTTTCTTATAGAATATTAATTCTGGAAGTGGTTTTGAGGGCTCTATTTGAATCTTGCTGGGAGGTGTGCTGTGAATTTTGCCAGTATCAATTGGAGTTTTTGCCCATAAGGAGGGTGGCAGGTGATTCACTAGGGACAAATGATGAGTGTTTCCAGAATTAGCTCTAGTGCCATCAGAGGCAAAACAAATAAAAGATGTCAAAGGATCACTTAATTCACCTGATGGTTACTTTGATGACTGTTGTCAAATTCTAGAATTATTTCCCCCTTTTGGGAGAAAGAAATTCCAGCATGATACTTCTTTAAGAAGTCTCAGCCTAATAAATGAATAGGGGCAGAGGAACTAAGGAGAAAAGGGTGTGCGTCTCTCAAAGGGCCTAAACAAAAGGGAATAGGCTCAGGGAGAGGAAACTCTTGAGGCTGTTTAGAAATCCCACTATTTGAGCTGTTTTAGGGATTGCTTTAT